ATGACAATGCATATCATATTAGGCCTTGACTGTCTGAAGTTATAGTCATAAGTTACACAATTCCCGCATTAACCTCAATTTATGTTACCGACGGAAGCATTTGGTTTCAGACGTTTAATATATTAAATGTATTATTATTCACCATCGATGCTATTAAATATAAATTATTTTCGTGTTCGATGCCACGTGTGTTGTAATCTAACCCTTCGAGTTGTTTTCCAGTTTTCTTCGATTTTTGTTGAATAATTACGGCTGACCGCCAACTAATACTAACGTACAATCGTAAGCGCACACTTGTTGATTTACAGAATCTTTGTATTCGATACTGTTGTTGTTACAACTAGTAAGTATTTTTCTTATTTACTTATAAGATCAAACGTGTCAAATCATGTATTGATCTAAATGTGTATACTTTTGATGGCATTATCGTAATTATTATTAATAGAGATGCCTATCAAGGATCAAATGCTAATCAAATGCAAAATTTTTTTAGTGTTTATTGTATAATTGATGGCATGTCTAGAAATTTTTTTGCCAGTATGGTCATTAACATTATTCTTTAGGAAAATTGAAATTATCATTTAGAGTACAAAGACTTAAACACAAAACACTACCTCGATAATGTACATGTTAAGTAACTGTAGCTACTAGCTAGTAAATAATTGTGTAAATACTATTTAAATATATATATATAACTATTAATTCATTATATTTAAAAAGTAAATAAAAATAAATATAATATTAGTCTACGTTTTGATAGTGTCATACTTTTAAATTGTTCAATAATGTTGTCATAATTTATGTTTTTAGTCAATTCTTATTCAATACATAAAAAACATTAATATATCAAGACTTTGTTTATTCATTGTACTACGAAGTTTAAATTTATCCATCGTTAATTTCGAAAATGCTTTTTTTGTAATATTATCAGTAATTGTATGAATTTTTTCCTTTATGCCTATTTTATTTTTGAAAAATCTTTCTCTATTATCTTTAATAGGTTGTTATACCTAAATATTAAATAGAAATGATGAAAGTGTATATTCTTGTTTTACTCCCTAATTATTGCAGTTTCTGTTTTGTCTATTACTTTTATGTTCTCAATTTGATTACATATTATCTTTACTAAGATTTTGGCTACGTGTATCATTTATCTTATCATTCTGAATTTATTACATTTATCAACCGTTGCTTTTTTAGATATAGGTTTTATACTGCTTTCCTTAGATCTCTCCTGTAGATATATCAATATTTAATACTATTTTGATTTATTGCCCTATGTTGAAAAGAGTTAACCATATGAATAATTGTTTCTGATCTCACGGTAAATAACAATAAGGTAATTTTAGGTACTAGCATTCCTAAGTAATTAAGACTAAGAAAGCTTGTTTTACTATTTTAGCTATTTATAATATATTATTAATTCTGATGCCATCCACATAATATATCAAGTAAAATTTAATACATCCATTCTCATAAATTTATTTGGGTGTCTTTAATTAATTAAAACATAATATATTTAAATACTTATTCAGTATATCAATATTTTAATAATAATTTTTAATTTTTTTGATTCAGAAAATATTTTTTACTAACATTGTCATTACCAACAAAAAAATCCTGCATTGATTTTACAAAAGTGCAAAATAAAAATTAAATTGTAATAAAAAAACAATTAAATGAAAACTCATTTGTAAATAAAAGAAAAAATTATAATTATTTAACACAAGTGCAAACTTATAATTAACTATGAAATAAAAGGCATTAGTTTTAACTATTAAGTAGGTGATTTGCTGGCTGTTTTTTAGGTAAGTATATGGGACTTTTTTTTTATAAAATGGGGTTAATATATTATATTCTAAATTGTATTAGCTTAATATTATAAATTTATTGAATAACTATATTGTATAGAACAGTGATTCTCAATCTTTTTGAGTTCGCGACCTCCTATAATGTCACCAATGTGTCTAACGACCCTTTTGTAATGTAAGCATTGAAAAATTTTACAAACTGTTATTATCGTATTTAATTGTATATACATTTTACAAAAAAAGTATATTATAAAAGCCGATTGGTGTTAATTAATAGAAAATAAAAATAAAAATGGTATAAATTTTAATATTTTTTTTAATTTAATAACTCTTTTGCTGTTGTTGATTTGAAATAATTTTTTTTCACATGATGCAACCCTAAAAAAATTGTTGGTGACCCCCTGTTAAGAATCGCTGGTATAGAACAAACATGGCTATATAGTGTATTGGGTATAAATTAAAAGTCTATACCATGTATTAGAATTTGTAATTTACATTAATTATTATAAGTGATTTTAACTTGCAAAAAAATTATTTTCTTACGGAACACCATTGTCATAATCACTAAAGTGAATTAAAAATAAAAATAAAAATAAATATTTCCTTAGTTAATCCTCATTAATAATAAGTAACATTTTAATTTAAATTAGGTAAATCACAACAGGTTGATAGGTGTTCAATAATGGTTCATACCAATGGCAATAAACTTTATGGTAGAAATTTAAAAAAAATATACTAATATTCTACTTATTCTACTTATATACATATATATAATAATATTTTAAATATGTTTCAGTTGTGAGATTAAGCCTGTATTTTAGACTTCATATGAGTAAAAGATACTTGGACAGAAGCATAAAATTGTAGATCCTGCTACTTAAATAATTTACAATGAACAGCCAATACAATAATTCTTATGAATCTGATAATGAAAACGATCTTGCTTTTTGCTACAATTGTGAAGAAATTTTTTATGTAACTGATGTATGTTTGACCTATTGCATGTGGTGTTAAAATATAATTTTAAATAATAAAATATATAATTTATAATATATTAAATATGGTATGTATTTAATAAATTTTTCTTAGGAAACTACATGTCCAACGTGTAATTCGGGATCTATTGAAATTGGAATTGAACTTATACCACCAACTCCTGGAGAATCAGCAAATATGCCAGATTCATCAGATTCGCCTGATTCACCAAACTCACCGGATAATCCTGGACCATCAACTTCATCAGATATTAATTCTAATCCACAATCTCGGGTATGTTAATTTTATTAAACTCTTTTTCCTCCTTTCAAATTTTCTAGTGTAACAAAAATTCTTTTTTTTTTTTTTAAATGATTCAATGTTGTAAATTATTTAAATATATAATTTGATTTTTTATACATTAACTTTAGTTCTGTCTTAAGTTTATATAGTAACTAGTTATTGTATAGAACAGAGGTGGGCAACTGGTGACCCGTAAGCTACATTCGGCTTGGTGGCCTTTTTTTATCTGGCTCGTGCTATATTTTCAAATTACATCATGGAATTTTAAAGTTTATCGTCTATCAATATAATTGTTATCTGGTATTAAACATCGTTAAATGTCTAAATGTTATATATATAATATGTGTACATATAGCTTTCAACCATAGCTGTTTGTACCGAATTATTATTAGTTTCTTTGTATCATTTGTGTTGTACTGTAGTGTATGTTGAATTTATTATTTTCGCGTATATAAATGCTAATTAAAATGCATATTTTGAATGAATTTTTTTTTTATTGCTTTCAATGCTCTGACCCACTATATTTTAATTTTTTAAGAATTAGCCCTCTTGTAACTTTGAGTTGCCCATCCCTGGTATAGAATTACTAGTTTTTTTGTTTATTTTTATGCATTTTATAGTTTTACTGAAATATTATAAAAATTTACTTCATATTTAATCATTCTCAGGCACATAAATGAATGCTTATTTTGGGGGAGCAATCAGTGACATAGCCAGGGAAGGTTTAGAAGTACATTCCTCCCCCCCAATTTTCCTAAAAAAAGGATATCAGGATTTGTAATTATAATTTATATAAACTTAAAGTTTTTTTTATATGCACGTAAACCCCTCCTTTGGGTAATTCTTGACTATGCCATTGGAGGCAATTAATATTATTCAGAATGGCTAAGGCTTAAAAAAATGAAAAGTTAAGTTTTATACTTTATAAATTAGTTAGTTTATTGTTAATAAACATTAAATAAAGTTCTTTCTCGGTTTTCATAAATTTGCTTATTTCTATGGGTGCTAACCATATTAATAATTTCATTTTGTGGGTGTTTATGATTAAATAAAAAAATATTCTACTGTTGTAATTGTATTTATATCGTACTGATAGCTATTATGAAATGCAAAATCACCTGTTTTACTCGATATCTTTGCATATTTAACTAAAGGAATAGCAATTTTTTGTAGAACCATGTTATTACATTTTCCTCCTTTGTCAGCAAACAGAACACAATATTTACATATAAACCAATTTTTTTTTGGGAGAATACCTAGCCATTTTTACGTTTCAAAATAAGTTCTATTTAAGTATGTCTTTTCTTCTTTACCTTTCTTTATGTGTGTACTAAATTGGTATACAAAATTATTCTTAGGTATGTTAGAAAGCTCTAATATTTTGGTTTTATTATAGTCTGATAGTTGAGCACAATTTTCTTTGATATTATCACCAATATCATTACTGAAATCAATGTCATCACATATTTTTTTGTGGCAAAACAGGCTCAGTAGTAGCAGATAACAATGTAGACAGATTAAGATATTACAATTTTTTTTGTTTCTCTGAAAATATAGGTTTTTTTTAATAAAATCTGTTGAATATGCAATATTTAAACGTTTAGTTCATAACTATCACTCTTATGTTTGACAGGAATCGGCTCCTTTTGCAACCATTGAGAAAGAGTTACTTATTTTTAAAAATTAAAATTAACAATTTAAAATCAACTAACAATTTAACAATTTTTAACAATTTACAGTTCTATTATTAGTATTCAACACGTTTTTAGAAATATAAAAATATAACTGTTAACTAATTACTGATGAAATAAAAAAAAAAGCTGATAAAACGAATGTAGCAGGCAGCACGAAGTTCAGGTTTTGAACATAAAAAACGGTTTTTATTGTAGTTAGGAATTGGTTACTGTATTTTAAGTTGAGTGACCATGTTGTTGTATAATATATCTATGGAGTGACCATAAATAAGAGATTGATATGAGAGTGACACACATGGACAATAAAGATAATATAATTTATTGATGCACGGAATTCAATAGTTATTTTTTTTTTTTTTTTTTTTTCATTAATTATTAATTACTACAATATTGTCTTTGGGGGGAGATCACTCTTACCGCCCCCTTCCTAAATTATGTGTCTGATCATTCTGTAAATTAACAAAACTTCATACTTAAATGTTAAAATTTTAAAATAAATTAACATATCTAGACATATCTAGATGTATTGTGATTACTATCATATGATTAAATTTTATTAACTTTTTAAAAATTAATTAATTTCATATTAATATAAACAGTATTTTTTATACAGTTAATGCTTATAAAAATTTAAAACTTAAAATATAGTTAAAAAATGATATGATGACTTTGCTGTTATAATTTCTATTGTAATTTAATATAAAAAATAAGTAATAATAGCTTATATCAATACATGTGCATTTTACACTTTTGTGTAATAAATTATTAAAGAAAAATGAATAGAACTACATTATGTATAAAATGTATCAAAAAATATACAAAATTAATGTGCATGTATCGCGGATTATCATCTTGTATTAATTTATTAATTCTTTCATTATTTTTTAATAAAATACAACCTATTTTTGATTAAATACCTTAACATAAAATAAGCTGAAGCTTCATGATTGCAATTATTTATTTTGCTTATTTAATATTTTTATAATTTATAAAATGTAAGAGTTTGAATATTGATTCTTATATTTTATTTGTTGTTTGAATTTCATAAAAAATTCATCAATCATATTTTTGAAATAGACAAAATAATAAAATTAACCTCATAAAACTAAATATAAGTAGAATAAAATATATATAAGAAAATATAAATTGTTAAATAATAAAATATAAGTAGTATAAATATATGTATATTTATATTATATTTATAAACAATATTATTATTATTGTACTTGTAAATATCTTTTTAAATATTTTAGAATACTGAATCATCAGAAGAGGTATCAATTAGACCAAGACAAATGAATACAATAAGTACACCACCAGTATTAAACCAAGAAAGAGGGTGATTGAAAATATCAAATTTATAATCTATTATACTAAAGGGCAGATGTTTATGCTTTAAAAAATTGTAATATATCCTATATAAAAGTAAAATATGCTCGATAAAATGTCATTATTTGCATAAAAAAAATTTAAAAAATCAATATGTGCAATAATATAGTTAATAATATTTATTTAAACTGTTAAAAACTTAAAAAAATAAAATAAAATCAATGAACTAAAAAAAAATTAGTTTTCTTTTATTGTAGAATTAATCTGAAGAATTAAATTAATCGTTACAATTATAAAATTTTTAAATTTATGTAAAATATATTTTGTTTTACTTACTTAAATGTATATTACTCTGATTAAACATTGTTTTTTGAAATGTTTTGGAATTTTTATATTAAGAGGATGATACACGCCCATTTTTTGTCACCTAAAATCATGTGTTTGGAGAATAGCTCTCATTTGGACTGTAGTTTATTTGATATTATCTGATAAATATATAATTATAAAAATAGCAATCGCAATAGACAATATTACATTGTTAAATATTCAGTAAAATCTAAAAATACCGAATATGCATAACTATGCATTAATAAAATATAAAAAATTAATTGAAATATGTAAATATATGCAACATAACAATTTTACTTTTATATTCTATAGGTCACAAAACAAATTGAATAAATGAAAAAAAAAATATGCTAATGCATGAACATCTGCCTTTTATTTATTACATAAATAGTTTGATAATTAATACAATTTTTTCTACATGGTTATAAACTGTGAATTTAATGCATTTGTATGTTTTTTTTTTTTTGCTACTTATAAATAGTTTAAAGAAATAGGTTTGGCCAAAATTTGTTTTATCTTATTATGAATCAAATGCATATATTCATGAATTCATTGTTATAGTGCTTCATTTATGCCTTCACAAAAAATGCACTATTAAAAGTAATACAAATCATTCAATATATTTCAGTTAAATTCAGTCATTTAAAAGACCAAACTGGAACTATTATTAACAAAAAATTACAAAAAATAAATAATATATAAATTATTTAATAGTTTAAATACCTGTAGCCCAAAGACTGTTTTATTAAGTATTCATAATTGTATTTAAATACTTTTCGACTTATGTATTATAAACATTAAAAAAATATTTTTTCTTTGCATTTTTTATTCAAGAATACTGAATACATTTTTTTTACGTTCCAGCGTTCTATTCCAAAATCCAGCTGTTAATATTTTCGTAGTGTAATCTCCGTTGGTCCAGCATGCCAAGGCATACAGGATATTATGTATACATGCATAAAGAATATTGTTTTTTAAATAATTATTAATTTTTTAATTTTAATAGTCACTTTTTTAATAAAGGAATTTTTAAAGAGGCTTTTTTTTTCATTTTACTGTATAATTTTATATATTTTAAAAAATTTAGTGTATATTTTTCATATTTTTAGTGCATAAGTACATGCATAATTAACACATTCTAAATGCATTAAATTCACAGCCCTGGTGATAATTAATAAGAATCCTAGTTTTATAATAGTTATATTAATTTTAAATTATGTAAAATGTGCTTAATAAATTTTTAACTTTTTATTTGTATATGTTTTAACAATAACTATTGAAATATTTAATATGAAGTTATTATTTCACAAATTTAATACGGGATTTTGATGCAATTTCTGCTGATGACGTTTTAAGGACACATATAACTAACCTTAGTTTACTGTAAGCATCTAAATTTACATATAAATTATATTTATAGATTTTAAATTAATGATTTTTGTTATGAATATTTTTACAGTCGTGCTCTGTTTGATGCTCAAAATCAAGATGTGGCTTTTAATTTACCATTATCAATGGAAGAAATAGATATAATACCAACATCAATTATTTCTCAAGAACTTTTAGGTAAAAAATTATCTGTATTATTTAAAATTATTTCAAGTCCTTAAATATTAATCATATTAGATGTTTTACTAAATTTAAAAAATAATTGTTTAATTATTTAAATATTTAATTCATAAAAAATATAAGAAATATAACAGTTTACCTAAGATCAATATTTATATTATTTATTTTGGATAACAAATATTTTTGGTTGCAGTAATTTTGTTCAATAATGGGTTATTTCGAGAATTTGTGGAAGGTTTTATATAATGACATTATACTCACGATATGCTTGATTCCCCTATAAAGGGGAAGTCTCTGGAGAAGGGGAGTGCGTGGTTATAATTATAAGAACAATTTTTTTTGGAATCGACACGTTTAAAATGTAATTTAAACTTCACAAGTTTAGAGTAGATAAATGTAATACTAAGGTGACCGAAAAAATTACGCGTACACACATCACAACTGTGGGACACTGAATGAGCTTAATTTAAAAAAATAAAAATAAATTATAAGTATTTGAAAATGATATTTTGACGAATTCGGGTATTTTAACTACATGACATTAGTTATTTGATTGTTATTCTATAAAATATATTAATCGTAGTGACTCGAAATATTTATTAAGTATCTGCTTGTATTAAAATGTTAGTTATATTAAAGTTTCAAAATATTTAAATGAATTTGAACTGTTTATAGATACTTGAAGTTTTCAATTCTTCCCAAATTTTAATCGGTTATGATTAGGGCTAGGGACTTCATTCCCTAAAAAA